TTAAGCTTTTTACTAAAACATTTTCAGTCTAAGTTAGCAAGGGGTTAGCTATAAAAATAAAATGAAACATATCATCCAAAACGTAAAGAGAGTAGGCTCATGATATATACACCTCCTTTTTTTTTATAAATACACCTCCTTTTTAAAAAAAAATTATAAAATATTATAATTTTTTAAAAAGAATTTAATTTTACACTTTCAACTTTCAATTTGCTACTTTCTTCTTTTTATTCACACATTTTTTTTTCTCTTTCAATTTTTACATGCTACCAAAATAGGTGGGGTGAAAGAAAGATAACGGGGTGCATGTAAAAATTGAAAAAAAAAAAAAAGAAAGATCTGTAAAGAAAAAGTACTAAATTAAATGTTGTGAATGTAAAATTAAAAAAAAAAACAAAAAATTAAGAATATTTTAAAATTTTAATTATTTTTTTTGAAAAGGAGGTGTATATATCATTAACTTTGAAAAACACTTTCTAGAATAATTTTTTTTATTCTAAATAACAACCTTACACATGCAGCACGGATGGACCACTTCTCCAACTTTCCTATCAGAGACTTCACCCTGAAAAATTATCATTAGAAAAGGGCATTTCAAAGAGTGTATCATGCAAAACTAGTTGAAATTTGCTTATATTCAAGAATATATATATATATATATATATTCTTATAATAAATAACTGGGTGTAATTTTTTATTTTACGGCCTGTGGTTGTATGTGGTGGCTTGATTTGGACATTAGCATAAAATGAGTGAAAATAAAAGAAAAAGAAATATTGAAAAAATATAATCCATTAGTTTAAAAATTAATAAATCTGACGGCTGAAATTTCTTTTCCTATTGTGGGAGACACTAACAAGTCTCACCCTATAAGTCAGTCATACAATTTAGGATATTGAAACCTCAAACCATAAATACGAGCGCCTTCATTTAATGAATGTTATTAATTTTACAAGAATAAAATGAAAAATACATATCATGATATTTATATATATATATATATATATATATATATATATATATTTTAGACAAGAAATTAAAATATGACAATTCCAACGGAATTCAAATATTGAGCCAACCTACTCAAAATGTTTCTATGGCTATGTTGCACGATAATGTCATATTTTTTAAAATTGTTTGCAGGAAATAATTTGATATAAGATAATTACATAAGCACTTGTATACTAAATTTAGCGTTTTGACTTAGCTATGTAGCCTATGCTATTGTAATACTTACGAATTATAGATTTAATTAGGAGATGCTATGATTTGGATCTATGCTGCTGTTGTAGATAGTTTGCATGAGTCAAAATAGGATTAAGGAATTCATGGTTTAATAAGATTAAGGAATGTTTATACTTTATAGAATAGGAAGTTATGTCATGCAATTATATCAAAGAACCAAAAAAAAGAAAAAGAAAAAAGAAGGAACTGTGACGGATACTTGGCGTGGGCCTGATTAGGCAAAAAAAAAAATTTAGATTAGGCTTTTTTTGATGAGATTCATGAGAATGGACCCTTAGTCATTTCATAAGAGGCTGATGATATATACACCTCCATTTTTTTATACATACACCCCTTTTTAAAAAAAAATATTAAATTCTTAAATTATCCTTAATATTATTTGGAATAAAAAAAAATTATCCTGGAAAGTTTTTTTCGGAGATGTATTTGTACATAATTATGGAAAGTTCTTTCCGGAATACTAAAATTACTATTCCGGAAATAACTTTCCGTCGGAATAATTATAGAAAGTACTTTCCGTAACACTAAAATTACTATTGCGGAAAGTTCTTTCCAAAATTATGGTAAAAAATACACACACTGTTAATATTCCGGAAAGAATTTTCGCAATAGTAATTATAGTGTTACAGAAAGTATTTTCCATAATTATTTTGACGGAAAGTTATTTTCGAAATAGTAATTTTAGTATTCCGGAAAGTACTTTCCGTAATTATTCTGACGGAAAGTTCTTTTTGGAAGGCTCATGATATATATACCTCTTGTGTTTTTTTTATAAGTACACCTTCTTTATTTTTTTAAAAAAATTATAAAATATTATATATATTTTTTAATTTTATACCTTTAACTTTCAATTTTCTAATTTTTTATTTTTTTTCACACACTTTTTTTTTCTCTTTCAATTTTTACATGCTACCAAAATAGGTGGGGTGAAAGAAAGATAACGGGGTGCATGTAAAAATTGAAAAAAAAAAAAAAGAAAGATCTGTAAAGAAAAAGTACTAAATTAAATGTTGTGAATGTAAAATTAAAAAAAAAAACAAAAAATTAAGAATATTTTAAAATTTTAATTATTTTTTTTGAAAAGGAGGTGTATATATCATTAACTTTGAAAAACACTTTCTAGAATAATTTTTTTTATTCTAAATAACATTAAGGATAATTTAAGAATTTAATATTTTTTTTAAAAAAGGAGGCGTATGTATAAAAAAAATGGAGGTATATATATCATCAACCTTCATAAGATACGTTATTCTCACTCTTTTTTTCTTCTTCTTCTTCATTTTCCGCTCTCAAATTTTTTTTAAGACTTGAATATATTTTTAATTTTTGTAAAATGAATTGCTTTTTATTTTCATGTAATTTTTTTTAACTAAAAAATTAAAACATGATAATAAAGTTAAAAAAATTATTTTTCTATACATATTACTCTAACTTTTATTAATAAAAGAAAACACAATAAAACGATGGAAGATGTAAAGAGACGGCAGAAGAAAAGGAGTGGGAGTGAGAAAAAAAAAAAAGGTGTGAATAAGTGATTAAATTAGGAAATTCCAAAAAAAAGAAAATGGAAATGGAAAGATAAAAAAAGGTATGTGAAAATAAACATGGGTGGTTTTTGTTGGACAGATGAACATACTACATCTTCATGGGGCCACTCTTGGATTGACTTATAGGTTGTAATTTTATTGACTTATAGGTTGTAATTTTAAACAACAAAATAGAAGAAAGAAAAAAAAAAAGGACGATTTTATTACAAAGCATATGGAGTTATGGACGGATGAACCGATACCAATTACCAAGTAAGAAAAGAAAACATAGAAACATTAACGAGAGTCACTAAATGTGATCAATTAATGTTTTTTAAGCTGAAATCAATTATTAATAAATTAGTAAATCTTTTATACTAGTAACATGATTAAAAAGAAAAAATATGATTAACAAAATTTAAGAAAAGCTAATTGCATTCATTAATAAGGCTCTAGTGTTGTGACTTGTAACAGTGGCACACAATCATTAGATTCATAAATGGACAATACAGTTGGCAATTTTTACATAAAGACTGACAAGATGGTCAATCCATATGCTGTTTCAATTGAAATTTCAAATTAGGACCCTCTTAATTAAGAAATTAATAATTAATAATTAACAAGATAAAATCCCAAAACGTCTTTAAGCCACGGATTAACATTTTTGTACATTAAAAATTATAAATATATTATCCGACCAAAATCTTATTCTTATCTGTCTCGAAATTAATTATGTGTGAATTTGAAAAGCAAGCGTGCATATGAGCGACAATACATGATACATCCAAAAGGAAACGTCGTTTAGCGGATAAGGGTATTAATGTCATTTACTATTGTCATTTTCATGTTTGTTTTTTTTGTTCTTCTGAAGTGAGTCACCGTTACTTTCTCTCGTTGGTTATCGGTGTGGGTGGGTGATCCAAAGAGGCTCAGAAAAGGGGCAACTTCGCAACTCGTGAATCGATTACTGTGCAAATCGTCGATTCTTTCTGTGAGTAATTCCAGTTTTTATGAATCGCAGCTTTTGTCCACATTTTCGATTCTCTTCGCTTTTTTACTTTTTCTCCCAGTTTATCGATTTGTGTATATCTTTTTGGTTTAGGGTTATCCTAGCTAGATTTTGTTGGAGATTATGCTCAATTGCATTCGAAGCGACTTGATCATTTTTTTATAAAATAATTGGGGATATAGTTTGTATTAATATTCACACAAAAAAAGAATTATAAAAAAATATTGTTTCAGTGAATGAGCCTCTTCTTAGGCGTTCTATTTGGTTTATGAACAATGATTGATGAAAATGAGGTTAGTGTGTCGAATACGCCTGTGAAATTGACTTTTGGAATCCCTGGTGTTGAACTCGTGTGTGTATAAATTGAAAGATGTAAGTTGTTGGTATTGTTTTGGTGCCTTTTATTAAGGTAGTAAATGGAGCATAAGTTTGTTTATCTGTCTTAAAATTGAACCTGAATCACATGTCTTTTGTGCAGAAAACATAGTGGGCACTGGTCACGCTTTAGAGTTCTGGTTGAGGGATTGAAGCGTAATTAGGTGGAGGAGGATGGCTTGTAGGGGTTGCTGGGAATGCCTTTTGAAGCTTTTGAACTTCATTATGACCCTTGCTGGTCTGGCCATGGTGGGTTACGGGATTTATTTGTTTGTTGAATACAATAAAGCTTCGGATGATACTCTCACTGTCGGTGGTGATCAAACTCTACTTCAACTTGGCCGACCCATGCTAGTGGCTGTGTCTCTGTCCAACAGTTTTTTAGATGATTTGCCCAAGGCTTGGTATGAATGCTGCTCATCTCTTGCCAATATTTGGGGCTTATCAAATGATAAGTAACTTGTATTGATTAGTTTGTAGGATATAAAGTAGACAATAATGCTTTTGTTTTGATTAGTATTTCCTGCTGTAACGGTTTCCTTAATTTTATCTACTGAAGTAATTTGTGTTTGAAAGTATCACCTGTGCTTGGGGAGGGGGGTGTCAATTTTCTTTAGCATTGTATGTCTAAGATAAAATGTTCAGGAAAAGAGAAGACTCCCTACAACTTGCTTTTGAAGCAATAATTGGTGAAACATAATTGGGACTTGCTACCAAATTTACTTAAGCTCATAGGAATCAAACCTCTTCAATCTGTTTCAGTGACATGGTCTATATCTTAAGCTCTTAATCTGGTCAACTTCAGTAAGAGCAATTATGTTTCGAATAAGCTTTAAGAATGGCTTGCCAGTTGATTGTGGTTATGTAATAGTTGGAAGCATCCTTGATCACTTGCTAATTGGTACCCTACTTTTTGTTGTCAGTGTTGAAGAAAACAAACTTCGAATAAACTTGCTTTATTCACTTTTTGTATTGCAATACCAAATATGAATTTGAATTGTGATGTTTAGACCTACTGGTGACATCTTTGCGTGTGTTTGGTTTACCATTGAAAAGTTGCAAATCCTTGTTCCACGGAAAAAAGAAAAAAAGTTACTTCTCCATTAGATGCATTGCAAAGAGTGAACCTCTGTTTGCAATGATGCAAATGGTTCCCCAAACACGGCCTTTGTATTTGTGTGATAAGGACAAATACTGATAATAGACACATGTATATTTTCTCCTTGATAGTTTTTTACTGGATTCATCCATATGGAATTGTTGTCACATATATATTGTTTTACAAAAAGACATTGACCCAGCTCAATCTATATTGTCTTTGCACTGTCTTACACTGATTGTGTATATCCTGTTTGGCAGGTTCATTTACTTATTTATTGGAATTGGTGCAGTCCTCTTTGTCATTTCTTGTTTCGGTTGTATTGGAGCTGTGTCACGGAACGGGTGCTGCCTGAGCTTTGTATCCTTCTAGAATGTCTTACAATTACATTGCCAAGCAAATTTAATGGCATGATATATGTCTTCCACTCTCTCTTAATCTGTGTGTGTGTGTTAATCTTGAAGGAGTTGTTATTGGCTTCCTTAATCCAACAAAGTATTCAGTTTTAGTGTTGTTGTTGATCTTAGTAGAGCTGGGATTTGCAGGCTTTATATTTTTTGACAAAAGCTGGAAAGAAGTAAGTTGTCTCTAGTAATTTAGGGTATGAAATTCAATAAGTTAAATTTTTAATCTTATAATTATATTTCTTGCAGGAAATTCCTACAGACAAAACTGGGGATTTTGACATGATATATGGATTTTTGAGAGAGAACTGGAATATTGTGAAATGGGTTGCTCTTGGAATTGTTATCTTTGAGGTATGCAAGTACATTCATGATCAGCATTTAAAAACAAAGAAGCAGTATTGTTTCATGGTTATGCTTATGTCCTTGTGCTGTTGTGCATGCGCTCACAGAGAATATGTGCAAGTACTTCTTCAGCCAAATAATCATTTCTAGAAAGGACGCTTAGAACTAAATACTCTATTTTGGATCATAGTTAGAATTGCATGCTTCAATACAATTTGGCAAACTAGCGATTGATATCATGTGAAGAATTGTAGGGGACTTTAAATTGTGATACATGGATGAATCGGTGTTGTCTCATATGATTCATGATTCAGCATTTTTTTTCTTTTGGCTAAAAACCTAATTTGGGCCTTTATAATCTTTTTTTGTTTCAATTTAGTCCCTCATTAATTTTTGGTCTCAATTTGGTCTCAAACTAATTAATTGGTTAAAAAAAAAAAAAAAAAAAACACTTCTTAAAAATTGCTTTTTAAGAACTTTTTTAAGCAGGTAGAATTTGCTTCTTAAAATAAAAGAAGCAGAAATCTACTTAATTTTAGAATAAGCAGTTTAGACAGACACATTAAGAAAGCATAAAACTGCTTATTTTATTAATCAAAAAAGTGCATTTTCTAAGAAGTAAGTTTAAACAAACTGCTCATTAATTGATGCTAGGAGAGAGAGAAAGCAACAAGAAGCGGGAGAAGAAATGGAGTACATACAGGATTAAGATAGGCAAATTTGACTAATTCAGTGATTTTCAATTTTAAAGATTAAGAAGTTTTGGAAACAAAGTGCCTTTGGAATTCCTTAACCATGATAGGAGTGAGGAGAGACCAACTGTGAAAAAGTTATAGAGATGTACATGGTAATATGAATATGATGTACCAATTGTTGTTTATGGAATTGCAGGCCCTTCTTTTTGTGTTGGCCCTTATTGTTAGGGCTGCCAATAGGCCAGCAGAGTATGATAGTGACGAAGAGTACATTAATCCAAGGCAGCAGTCCCGTCAGCCTTTGCTCAACAGACCAGCAGGCCCAGCATCAGGTGCACCAGCTGCTGGCACACTTGATCAGCGTCCAAGCAGAAATGATGCTTGGAGTACACGGATGAGGGAGAAGGTGCAATCCTTTATCTTTGTAGTTAACTTTATCTATTTTTCTTGTTATGGGGAAATTTTCTTTTGTTTGTCTTAACTGTGCTTTTATAACCAGTGCCTTATCAGGACAAGGAGGTTCATCTTTTATGCATAACAAATGAATTGTGTATACTATTTAAGGACAATGAGTGCTATTTAATGTTTTCATATTAAACTAAAATTATAATTAGAAGTAATCCAATTCCTTAAAAAATAAGCATGTTTTTCTGAAAACTAAAGAATAAATATTGCAGTTTTAACACAAGAGTTTAAATTTGATTCACTTTTAGTGTACTACCTTTCACAGTCAGGAAACAAGAAAAAACCATACGAGCTTTTTTACTTCCAGGGAAAGCTTTCTCACCGCCACTTAAACTGATAGGACCATCCTAAAAATGAAATCCTATTCCTTATTTTCTTTATTGAGAAGTGCTAGCAACACACTCTCTAACACACTCCTCTTAACACACTTTCATTGGCTACAATTTATCAAAAACTACAAAATCAGAAAAGAGAGTAGTTAAATAGAGTGAGGCCCACCAAATTTTGTATTTTCTAATAAAATTCAACCAATCAGAGTGTTTAAAAGAATGTGTCAAAGGGTGTAAGAGGGTGATGCTAGCATTTCTCTTTCTTATTTATTTCATACTAAAACTTTCAAATTGTTTATTCCGATATCAAATTTGAAACAAATTACTTTGGAAGGAAAACAAACTATTTTCAATAGATCAGTAGTCTACAATTTTCTTCCATCTATGATTTTATTGAGCATTTTGACAAGTTTATTGATTATGATGAGATTTTACATGTTTCTGCAAATATAGCATCATTATAATAGCAGTATTTCAATATAGGAATTTCACGAGACCTCAGGAAGTATATAGATCATTCTGTGGACTTCATGTCTTCATAAATGCTAAACCTGTTTTGTCGTATCACTTATGTTCCTCAGGTGTCATGCAAAGCAAGATATCCTTTTGTACATAGACTTCTTGCAATAACTCTCTTTGCAATCTGAAGCGAAGACTTAAGTATTTACTTTTGGTTTTGTTTTGGAAAAAAGATTATAAGGGACCAAATTAGGTTTTTAGCCTTTTCTTTTTGATTCTCTTTCACTAATTATCATCAAATAAAATGAAAAGGCATAATTCTAAATTGTGTAACCGATAAGAAACTGAAGGAGCACAAATGAAAGCACCTGCACCCTATTTGATTATTCTACTGCTCTAAAAAAGAAAGATTATTCTACTGCTCTTTTTATTCTTCTAAAGTAGTCTCACGTAGTCACACACTCATTCTATGCACTTCATTTGGTGTTTCAGTGCTCTGTTTTCATTCTTTTGAAGTTGTGGCTTCACACATTCATGACATACAATTTTGTTTTGCAAGACTTACAGTCAAAGGTGTTTGTAAACACATTCAAACTCAAGCATTGAACACTACATACATCATTTATATTATATTTCAAGCTATTTTTTTATGTGCCTTCTTTAGAATTCATATGATTCACAAATTACAATTAAAAAAATAGCATTGCATTTCATGGTTTGAATTGATATTTGATAGCCTTGTTTTTTTATGTTTGATTCCTTGATCAGGATTCAGGAAAATACTGTTTTTCCGTTGATAGAAATATTAACAGATCATGCGAGTTAATTGAATTATTACCACCATCCTCTTAATAATTATATGGGAGCTAAGCTAACTGTTAATTATAATATTTTTTAGCCATTTTTTATAGTATTACTTTATTGATTAAAAGTGGACTTCTGGGGATATAGTTTTGTAGGGACTTAACTTTTTGAACAAGAAAAAGCAGCTTTATCTTGAGCCAGTTTGTTTAAACTTAAAAAAGGTGATTATTTAAAAAAAAAAAAAAAAAAAACACTTCTTAAAAATTGCTTTTTAAAAAATTTTTTAAAAAGCAATTTTTAAAAAGGTTTTTTTTAAAAAAAAAAAAAAAAAAAACACTTCTTAAAAATTGCTTTTTAAGAACTTTTTTAAGCAGGTAGAATTTGCTTCTTAAAATAAAAGAAGCAGAAATCTACTTAATTTTAGAATAAGCAGTTTAGACAGACACATTAAGAAAGCATAAAACTGCTTATTTTATTAATCAAAAAAGTGCATTTTCTAAGAAGTAAGTTTAAACAAACTGCTCATTAATTGATGCTAGGAGAGAGAGAAAGCAACAAGAAGCGGGAGAAGAAATGGAGTACATACAGGATTAAGATAGGCAAATTTGACTAATTCAGTGATTTTCAATTTTAAAGATTAAGAAGTTTTGGAAACAAAGTGCCTTTGGAATTCCTTAACCATGATAGGAGTGAGGAGAGACCAACTGTGAAAAAGTTATAGAGATGTACATGGTAATATGAATATGATGTACCAATTGTTGTTTATGGAATTGCAGGCCCTTCTTTTTGTGTTGGCCCTTATTGTTAGGGCTGCCAATAGGCCAGCAGAGTATGATAGTGACGAAGAGTACATTAATCCAAGGCAGCAGTCCCGTCAGCCTTTGCTCAACAGACCAGCAGGCCCAGCATCAGGTGCACCAGCTGCTGGCACACTTGATCAGCGTCCAAGCAGAAATGATGCTTGGAGTACACGGATGAGGGAGAAGGTGCAATCCTTTATCTTTGTAGTTAACTTTATCTATTTTTCTTGTTATGGGGAAATTTTCTTTTGTTTGTCTTAACTGTGCTTTTATAACCAGTGCCTTATCAGGACAAGGAGGTTCATCTTTTATGCATAACAAATGAATTGTGTATACTATTTAAGGACAATGAGTGCTATTTAATGTTTTCATATTAAACTAAAATTATAATTAGAAGTAATCCAATTCCTTAAAAAATAAGCATGTTTTTCTGAAAACTAAAGAATAAATATTGCAGTTTTAACACAAGAGTTTAAATTTGATTCACTTTTAGTGTACTACCTTTCACAGTCAGGAAACAAGAAAAAACCATACGAGCTTTTTTACTTCCAGGGAAAGCTTTCTCACCGCCACTTAAACTGATAGGACCATCCTAAAAATGAAATCCTATTCCTTATTTTCTTTATTGAGAAGTGCTAGCAACACACTCTCTAACACACTCCTCTTAACACACTTTCATTGGCTACAATTTATCAAAAACTACAAAATCAGAAAAGAGAGTAGTTAAATAGAGTGAGGCCCACCAAATTTTGTATTTTCTAATAAAATTCAACCAATCAGAGTGTTTAAAAGAATGTGTCAAAGGGTGTAAGAGGGTGATGCTAGCATTTCTCTTTCTTATTTATTTCATACTAAAACTTTCAAATTGTTTATTCCGATATCAAATTTGAAACAAATTACTTTGGAAGGAAAACAAACTATTTTCAATAGATCAGTAGTCTACAATTTTCTTCCATCTATGATTTTATTGAGCATTTTGACAAGTTTATTGATTATGATGAGATTTTACATGTTTCTGCAAATATAGCATCATTATAATAGCAGTATTTCAATATAGGAATTTCACGAGACCTCAGGAAGTATATAGATCATTCTGTGGACTTCATGTCTTCATAAATGCTAAACCTGTTTTGTCGTATCACTTATGTTCCTCAGGTGTCATGCAAAGCAAGATATCCTTTTGTACATAGACTTCTTGCAATAACTCTCTTTGCAATCTGAAGCGAAGACTTAAGTATTTACTTTTGGTTTTGTTTTGGTTTTGGACCATCCCTGATTTGTTGCTTAAGAGATGATTGAAAACTCGGATAATTATTCTTGTTCTGTACAATGGTTGTGAAATTATATGTGGTTGTCTGACATTGAGTGTTCCATATGCAGTACGGGCTGGACACTTCAGAATTTACTTACAACCCATCAGAATCACACAGGTTCCAGCAAGTAAACTCACAGCCAACTGAAGAAAGGAGCCGCTGCACCATTATGTGATCACTTTGCATTGCTCCAAAACCACAGCATACTGAATTTCAATGATTGTTTTTATGGGCAATGACGTTGAGGTTAAGTTTGTCAGAAAACTCTCTTTCTTTCCTTGGTTTCTGTACCATTCGCACTTCACTGGATCTCCATTTCTTTTTTCCAAGACACGGCAGCAGCATCTTCATTTTGTTGTGTGTAAACATTCTGCCGAGTGAACATAAAAATTTATTTTCTTTGTTATGTTCATAGTTTAGGGGAGAAAATGAAGTCGGTTTTCGTTATAATGTGATTGTTGGCTGGAAACCAGTGCTTTATACCTTCCTTATTTTGAATTGGTGTCAACTGATCCTTGTGTCACTTGTGTTGTGTGTATGATTATGTGGGGATATTCGCGCACAAATTCAAATATACTACCACCTGCATCCAGGTGTTCATTTTGTGTGAAAGTTTAGTGGCATTATTAAACTGGTGTTGTGTGATGTAATAACGCGCAATACTTGATCAGAAAATTGATTTAATTATTTTGTATTAATACTTTATATCTTTTCCTGTAAATTTTCATGTTATTGAATGATTAATATGTTAAAAATTTTAAATTGTCTCTTGTTTAGTAAATGATATTGAATGATTAACAGCAAATGTTAAATTTTATCTTGCTTAGTAAAATTAATGCCGCAACTAATAGCCTAGTAGAATTTCCAGTCAACTTTGAGATACAGTACAGCGATATGTTGTGGCTGTTTAGTTTATATATTTGGGAAATATGTTAAATATATTAAATAAGTTAAGCGTTAGATATTTTATGATTTTTTAAATAATTTTGTATGATAAAAAAAAACTAGTATACGCCTGTCTCTTTTAATAATTTGAAAACTATTTTCTTCGATGTGCCATAAAGAAATTTTTTTGTAAACATTTATTTTCAGCGATGTGAAACTTGTTAGAATTGCAAACACAATTGTGAATAAAGTATGTGGTTGGTTTAATATTTTTGTTGTAAGTTTTTATAGAAGAAAACAAATAGATTACTTACAAGTTAAAATAACTTAAAGTATGTTGAAATCAATTCATGTATTTAGAGAAGTTAAATATGAGAGAAAAATATTTAAGTGTATAAATTGATTTTATTTTGAGACAAGTTTAATTTATTTATTTTTCTAGAAGAAAAATATTTTTCTAGTAATCTTGTCTTGTTTAGAAGAGGTGAATTTGGGATAACTAGTCCAGGTCCCCAAGGCCCGTGGGCCGATATTTTGGGTTTAATTTCACGCCTCTTTCTTTATAAAGGTTTTGGAGTGTAACAAACTGTTTCTTTTCACCGAAAGATTAATTAGAAAGTAGAAAATAGTAAATAAAATAATGTGAGGTGGTTGGAGGTGCAAGTGCAAGGTGCCCTTCAAGATCAAGACCAGCAAATTCTCTTTAAATAAGTCACAAGTTATATTAAACAAGTCTAAGAAGGCTCTGGAATGTTATTTATTATTCTATACATGTGCAGAATTCTCAACATATTATTGCTTTATCAGCATAGTGGCTCAACGCTCACATATATTATATTGATTTTGCAACTAATGAGCTCTTGTAGGCTACATTTCGATAAAATATCTAATCCAACTAATTAAAAAATGAGTAAGAAACAAAATAGAGCAACAATTGATGATGATAGAAACTTTAAGTGAAAGGTTGTGATAAGTAGGACGGTTGTGTTGATCGATAAAATAACAACAATTTTGCAATTGTATGGTAGTAAGTGGGATTAGTTTCAGTTAAGGTGCCACCTTTAAGAACAATATATCTGTTAATTATGTACTGTTGCCCTTTTTATTGGTGGAAGCTATCAACTAATCTAATGTCATACATTTGATTTGATGCTAAACAAATGACTGCCGCCAATGCTTCATCAGAGGATGCAAACAACCAATCATATTGTCCTAAGATGTTTATTTTTGGGTGTATCTACTCATTATGATTATTTATATTTTAGTCAATCTTAATCTACCTTCTTATTGATAGAAAAATTTTATGTTTATAAATTTACATAGTTCATAAATTTAAATTTAAATTTAAATTTTATCATACCATATCATATCAAATTAATACTTGACTTACACAATTTATTCTAATTTATTCCTCCACAAAAGTATTATATATTTATAGAAAATCTAGATTCTTAATAATATGGATTAAGGGCTTCTATTATATCTTTTTCTTTCTTAATTGTTTGATGATGATGAAATTTTTATTTAATTTATATATTCTTTTGATTTACATTTTTTAAGTTGAAAATACATGTATAATACATTAAAAAAATTTATAAAAAAAAAAACTTGCTTGTGTATATTTGTTTTTTCTTTAATTCCTTCCTTACCTTTTTACTAGTTCCAACCAAAATTGGCATATCCAGTGGAATCTTTAAATTAAACATATACCTCAAAATGAGTTGTGTTTAGTAATATCACTATATACCTCAAAGACTTTCTCCGAATTCTCAATGCACGTGTATTCTATAAACTTGAATGTGAAATTCCTAATTAAATTATAGTATTCTCTTACCAATTAATTTATCGTCCATTTATACAATTTATATTTTTATATAATTATGTTTTCTCTTCCTCTCTCTCTAATTTTACTTATAGATGCTGAATAGTAGGAAGTCAACTACCTAACTTTTCATATTTTTCCAATAATTTTCATTACTTAAGTTACAAAGAAAAATACTAAAGAGTTAAAATAAAAAGTATTTGGTCAAAAGTAAAAGTTTTTTATATGTGGTAATTTTTTTAAAAAAACTTGTAAATCCTTAAAAAGTATCAGCACTAGTTGACATTTATCTTGTATTTATATTTTGTGATTTGTTTTGGGCAAGCTCAATCTAAGTGATTGATTCCCTTTTGCTGGTCACTGTCCAATACCTGTCAAAGACTGAAGATTATTATTCTGTACGTGTGGGTTGCTAGCATCAAAACAAGACAAGTGAAGCAATTTTTAAACAATACGAGAGATGTTAGTTGCACGGATTTCTTTCTTTATTTCACACACACCCCTTACGTGTCTCACCTACACATGCATTTCTCAACAAAAATATAAGAATAACACAACTTGAATGATTTCTCCACCTTTTTTTATCCGTACACATACTATTAAATATCTCAAATTGGCAATAAGTGAGTGGTTCGTGTACCCATTGAATGGCACAAGTGCATGTCATTTTCACTCCATATACTGTTGTTGGTATGAGCAATGAAGCCTAGCAATTGTGGTCCAGATTCTGGTTTAGTTGGAGAATATGACAACTCATTGGTTCTTTCTCAAAGGTACAGTTTTGGCTCGTAGATTCTAAGAAACTTTCTCACGTTTGGTTCCATTTAACCACATCCATTGAGTTGATGTCATCATAAGGCTGTTGTTGGTGATAAGATTGCCATCACAATAAGCCCCCGTGAAAACAGCTATGCATAGATTAGATTTATGCTTCATGTCCACAACAACTCAATTTATGTTTATTGGTTGAAAATAGTGATTAATTTTAGTTGAAAATCGTCGATGTACACAAAATTAAATATTCTTTTTCGACATAATTTATTTTATAGTCAAGACTAAAATTTAAACTCATGTTAGATAATCTTAAATTTTAGAGATATCCGAGTTAGTTTATCTGTTTTATTTGTTTCAGTTTAGATAAGATAGTTTTTGATAAGATTTGTTTTGATAAGATATTTTATTATCTTCTTGTTAATTCGGTACGTTGTACAATGACTATTTAATTAAGACCATCTCTTATTCAATAAAAAGTACAGTGAGTTGCTACGTTCACCCAATACCAGTATTACTCGTCTCTCTTATTTTCTACAAATTGGTATCAAAGCTTTAT